TCTGGCACAGAAAGAAAATCCTCTCAGGAGTCTTCACTCCCAAATACATTCAGGCCCCATGCATCAGCTGGACTGATATGGCCAAAAGAAACCTGAATTACACAAATGGGCACATCTACACATGCATTACCACACTTTAGTTAATGTGAATTAGATTTAATACCTTCAGGCATCTATATACATGCTCCAGACATCTATACACATGCTCAGGGGTGGGGGGCACTTTAATTAGAGAGGCTCCAAGAGCCACCCTAATTAAAGCACCCATCCATCTCACTTCAAAATGGTGTTTGGAGCACTTTATCTAAAACTCATCAAATGAGCTCTAGATAGAGCACCCCCACCACTATTTTGAAGCATGGGGATGCTGATACACATGACATGGAGGCTGGCTGGAACAGTAATTACCACACTCCAGCAAACCCAATTTATCGAATCTGCTCTGACATGCTGTAATTACAGTGTGTAAGAGCAGCCTCGTGTATAGGCACCCTTCATTGTGTGGTACTAAGAAAATGTCTTAATGCGCATTAACTAAAGTGCACAGTTTTTAACTGATGCTTAATGGGCATGTATACACATGCTTTGGGAGGCAGTGGGGAGTGCTTTAATTAGAGTGGCTTGATTAATCAAATCTGCTCCGATGGGTTGTAATTACAGCTCATTGGAGCAGCCTCAGTGTACGAGTATAGGCGCCCAATGCACATTAGCCTATTTTAATGTACATTAACTAACTAGCACAGGTTTGTAAGTGATGCTTTAATGAACATTAAAATAGGCACATTAAAGTACATGCATAGACATGCCCACTGAGTGTCACACAGAAATATGCAGTTCTCATTACTGGTGCCCTCATCCATTCCTTTCCCAGCCCTTCTAGCTGCCAGTCACAGCCATTTGTTGCATCCTATCTTACTTTAAACCCCTGCTGAACAGTGCCTAAATCTGTGATGAAGTCCCTGGACAACATGTGGAGTAAGGACATGTAACGTAAGGCACATAAGGAAACATATCAACATAAGGAAATGTATCAGAGTCTGACCCTAGCATGGTCTTTTCTGGCACAATCATCTGTAAAGGTGTTTCTGTTAGTCTCGGTGGGCTGTGATTTTGAGCACGGTGCATTGAAAAATGATACACACTGACAGACAATATTATCCCTCAGGGGGCACCAATCCACCCACCCCAGCCTCCAGGCAGGCTGAGGAAACCCCAGACAGAGTTCCCTCCCTTCCCTTCCCTTCCCTTCCCCCCTTCCATTCTGAAGACAGCCCTGGGGGCACGGACAAACAGAAGTTAATGAAGGTGCTCTGCTTTGGACCACCTTCATCAGAATCCTCATTAAATGAGGGTTAATCTGTCCCACAGTTAGGCACTTTTAAATCATTCTGCAGCTGTGCACTTCTGTCAGGGCATGGATGTACAGCACTTTCAAGGGGCCAATTGTGCAACAAACATAACTTCTGTCTGCACCCTAAGTGTCATCAGCAATCCCTCAATTGGAGAATGATCTCTACTGCAGCTCACTGATTGGACTTGAGGTGACTTAAGCATTCAATCCTTGAACCAGAGATCTGTCTGCAGGTGCAACATTAATGATGAGTGTTTGCGTGTGTGAGCACGTGCATTCCCAGGTATGCATATGTCGCAGAGCACCCAGGTGCCCTGCGCCTGAGAGCAGAAAACAGCTCGGGAGAGATCCCTAGTGGCAAGAAGGGGGAGGCCCAGCTGCCGGTTACCAGGGCAGCCAGAGTAACAGGTGCTGGTTGCCAGGACAACCACTGGGGAGCCAGCTGACAGGAAGGGGCAGGGCCTGGCCCATATAAGCCCAGGCAGGAGGCCAAGAGGGCAGTTCTCCTCTGGTGACCAGGGGAGGAGAAGCTCAGCCAGTGTAGACAGAGGGGAGAACCCTGCCTGTATGAGCATCCCCTGGTTGCTGCTGGGGTTGGAGTGTTTTCCTGGTAGGGACTGAATGTTGTTTGGCTGGGTGGTTTAGCTTTGTATGTTATAGCTAAGAGCTTTGTGGTTTTTTTTGTGTTCACTGTTTTAACTGGAGGACTGAGTGAGGCTATTAGGGGTTGGAGGAGGCTTCATAGGGGCTCTATGGTAGTGTGGGGATCCTGGAGCTAGGGAGGGTGTGGCATTTTGGGGTGCACTGGCCCCAGCCCCAGAGCAAAGGGGGCAGCAGAGTACCAGGAAAGCACGGGACAAGACAGGGCAGTGGAAGCCCAGGGAAGTCAGAGAGCTGAATTACAGCAGGGCCCAGGTCAAAACCACATCAGTACCATCTGTGAGGCTTGGGCTGTGGTGCAGGGGAAGAAAAGGAGCCACAGATAGTGCCCCTGGCACCAGGGCAAAAAAAAGCAATGGGTAGCCTCCTGCTAATTAAATCTCTTAATTAATCAACCAAGATCAAGGCATGGCAGATGAGTAGGCAGGCTGTTGGCCCATAACAGAAGGGCAGAGCCACTGATAGAAAGGCTCTACTAGAAGTACTCCTGTCACAGCATAACAGCTCTATGCTTTGATGTTATTAATATTGCAAACTCAAGCACTCAGCCACTTTAGGCATTAGAATTCTGGCTGACTGTAGAACCTTGGTTCAGCTCCCTTCTGTATGCCATTACAATTAGAGTTCTACTGACTATTTTTGTGGAAACATTTTTCCTGTCAAAAAAGGCAATTTTGGAAACACTGAAACATTTCACAGGTCTATCTCAATTTTACTGAACTGTTCATGTAGCAAAAATCAGAATGTTTTAACATTTTAAAGTGGGAACACTTCATTATTTTTTTTTTTTTTTTTTATAGCATGTACCTACCTTTTATTTAGAACTTTCCTCCAACTTTATTTTTTTTAAAAATTAAAGAGCTCTGCTGCAGAGTACAGTCATTCATTCAGAATGAAACTTATTTTTTCTTCCACTTTTTAGAATTGCTGGTAAGCTGGAAGATCAGTTAATTGCATAGCTCTGATTATGACAGAGTCTCTAATTATATGCTTGCACACTGTTTTCTCTATGGGACCCCTGCTTCATTCAGTTCTCTCAGCCTTGCCTACAACAATAATATTTGAGGTGACACATGCATGCATACAGTTTTGCTGATGCATATTATTTCACACATTCTTCATGTAAAAGCATAGGTCGGTTCTGAAAACATGGCCTACAATGTTCCTGTCTATTGTCAAACTGCAGCTAGTGCACAATCAAGAAGAGTGACATTTAAAATGATGCCTCCGTTCTCCTGTTTCACTCCCCCTCAGGGACTCCCATATCAAATTGGTTCACTTTACAAGTCAAAACAAGCTGTTTCTAACTTGCCTGGTGTGTGAAAATCAGGTTGTTTTCTTTCTGCTTTGTGTATTACTGCCAGATATAAAGAGCCCAGATTCTGAAGGTAATTGGCAATTTTCTTGACAAGACACAAGGTAAAATAGAAACAAGCTTGCTCCTCAACTGCTTTATTAAAACAAGAACAGCAGCTATAATTGTTATCTGTCATTTAAATAACTGGAAGCTATGGGTGAGATCCAGAGAAGAGATTTAGGTAGGACTTAGGTGTTTAAATTTCACCTATGCCCAAAACAGTAGTCCAGAAGAACCAGTAGAATAACTAAAGGGGGTGACTGGGGCAGTCATTGTGCTGTTGACTTGGCTTCCCCCAGAGCCACCTTCACCCAGGAGGCAGAACCGCCCAGCTACACCAATGAGAAGAACCCTGCCCGAGGGGGCTGCAAAACCCACTAGTCAGTGAAGTCATTTGGCACCTACATTTTGGACTGCACATTTCCTTATGTGCCTAACCTTAGACTCTTGGCACCGAGCAACTGAACAGCTAAGCCTAGCTCCCACTTAAGTAACACTGAGAGCCTAACACAAGGCAGAGCAGTCCTTCAACTCTTCAAAATTCAGGAGGCAAGGTTTGAGAATGCTCATTGCATATCAACAGCATTGAGTCAGGCACAAGCTGCGAGGGCCAGGAGCATTTCCATTCCAAAATATGGTTGGTGTAGGAGCATGAGATGTTGCTGCTACCTACCCTCCCTGTAATAGCCTAGTGGTAAGAGCACTCACCAAAGAAGTGGAAGACCTAGGTTATACGCCTTCCTCACCCATTCAAACATCTAACCACGAGGCTCCAAAATAGCTTGGGTGGAGTCAGCCTCCACCATTTACACTGAAGCTATATCCCTGGGAAGCCAATAAAGAAAGAACCATAAGGCCAGGGAGAGAAAAAAATACGGTGCCTGCATCTGTAGTCTAGTGGTTAGGACACTCATCTAGGAGGTGAAATCCTTCTTCTCAGGACTGTGAATGCCTGCTGCATCAAACAGTCACTGAAGAAGAATATCAGAAATAAGCCTGAGAGTAAGATCACAGCTGAGTACTCAAACCACTGAGCGATAGAGGCATGCTCCTTTTTGCTTGCTTTCCTTCTGGCTCCATACATCCTGCATTGTGGGCTTCCTAGTGGCTCATCTTCAAGGCAATGAGGGTGACCCTCAAACTATAATAACCTGATGGTTAGGGTACTCCCCTGGAATGGGGGTGATGTGGCTTTGAATCCTCTCAGGATGAGGAGAGCCTAGAGCCCAGGTTTCTACCTTCCTTGGTGAGTAGTTTAACGATTTGGCACCATCTCTTTTCTGTTTAGAAGAGTGAATCCTGAGGACACCTACCCTCAAGGCTCCAGGCTCTGGACCCTCCACTGTTTAAAAAGCAGGCATTGAGGATTTCCAAAATGGCCTGTGGAGGAGAACATATACAGCACTCTTGCAGAAGATGTTACATTAAACACCTTCTCCCACCAGCTCTGGAGCACAGTTCTTGAGACACAATATTTAGTCCTTCTCAGGTCAGGACTGCTGTGCACAGCTCCTCACTCATGGGTGCAGCTAACAGCCAACATATAAAATGAAACATCTGTCTATTTACACTGATTTTAGCATTCCTATTACAAAGCAGAGCTATGAAAAGCCATCATGAGTAGCAACTCACAATTGGTCTCCTCCACTCTATTCTGTGCAGTTTGTCCTCAGGGAGCAGTTGGGGGCCAATGGAACTGATATGTGCTGGAAAGGTGCCATCTTCAAATAGCTGCCCTTTGCTCAGGCAGTAGCTTCTCAGGTGGTTGAAGTCCTGGTTGTTTAATTTCTTGAGGTTTTGTGGGCTTCCAGGCCTCTCCTTTGTCTGCCAGGTTTCCACTAGCTTGCGCTGTGGGCCAGGGGCTAGCATCATGTTCCTAATCCTGTGAAGGAGAAACAGTGTTGGCTGCTATTAATTGCCAAATCTGAAATGCTGCCCTCCCAGCACCCAGGGAGAGGGAAGGTTCTGTAGCAGCTACTGCAAAGGTGGCAGGTAGTGGAGGTGACAACATCCTTATTAGCTGGAAATGCCTGGGGAAAACAGAAGCAGTCAAATCCCAGCTGACTTACCTTTAAACCCATGATGCCATTGGTTTACATTCAATTTTAAGTCTTCCCTGAGGACAGGAAGGGCACGTCATCTGGGAAACACTGAGCTACTACTGAATAACCTAGGTAGCATAAGTGAGACTGGGGTGAGTCGGGGCGAGGGAATGTGCACAAGGAAGGGAAAGGAAAATTGTTCTTGAGAGGAAGGCAGGGAGGGGGAATAAAAAAGCCAAGATGATGACACAGGCAAGGGTTTTGTTTTTTGTTTTTCAATGATATTTTTTTACTAGACCAACCATACAGTTGGGAGAGATGTAAGCCAAACCTTGGAGCATAAAGCGCCCTTCCTCGGGTCTGCCTAGACAAGGGGAAAGGCACACTGTGCCCAAAAGCCTGTCTGACATCTCTCCCAACTATACATCTGGCCTGATAAAGGATATTACAAAAATAGAAACCGTGCTTCTCACATATTTCCTGAATCATTCTGGCTACAACAACACTCCAACCCTATTACAGCAAGGTGATCACAGGCAGTTGTAATGGTTCCCTAAGTCCTGGAGCTGTTGGTTTCGTTGCGTGCAGGGCAGTGTTGTGGTTATTTACTTTCATTTTTGTTTGCTCACTGAAAATGTTTCAGCCTTTGTTTGCTCAGGACACACCCAGATGCACCTGCCCTTGCTACGCCCGCCTGTGCTGAGAATGGTCACCAAGAGACATGCTTCCCTGGTAGCGTCTTTTCTCAGAGTCTGTTCCAAAATGCATTGATGGAAATGGACTGACTCTCATTAACTTGTATGGAAGTTTGGATCATGTTCTCAAAAAACCAGCATGGAGTGAAGCGACTGGGCTGCAGAATTTGGACATAGATCCAAATCTACATTTCACAAATATTTCTAAGAGACCGACCCTAGAAAAAGTTTGTACAGATGTAACCAACTTGATAGAAGAAAACTGGTTGTGGACAGTTAGTTAGAAACAAGGTTAGTTAGAAATATGGTCAAGCTGTCTCCCTGCTACATCCCTCTTCTTTAGTGTATTTGTTAATAAAGTTAATCTATTCTTAAACATTGACTACAGCTCCTTGACTGAACTCAGAAATAACATTACTTACTCCAAAACCAGGGGCATTTAGATTCTGTGATTCAATCTCTGACTTGACTCAACTGTGAAGAATAGATCCATACCTGGATTTTGCAACCTGCTACCCAAATCTGGGGACATTCATCTGGGTGAGTTGCTTGGGTCCAGCACAACCAGGAAAGTCTTTACTCATGTAGAAAATATCCAAAGAGTAATTCTCTGTGGGGAATAGCTCCTACTGGCACTGCAAAGTGTGACATTTCCTTTGTTGCGGTAACATGAATGATGCTTACAGAGGGCAAACCCTGCCACCATAGAGAGGGATTCTGCCCACTTCTGGACATGCACAGCACTGGCACAGCACTGAGCAAGTTGCTAATGGTGAAGAGTTCAAGGAGTAATAGCTCTAGCACTGGGCCCCCTTCCCTGTTACATTTGACAAAGAACACAATAGACCATGTTTCAAAAGTGAGGAAGAGGGATTTGAGAAAAGCCTCAGAAGATAAGTTGGCTGGTTGTGAATCCATAGGTAAACATGGATCCTTCATTGGTTCTTGCTCAGTTCTCCAGTCCTGTTCCTCACCATACTTGAAGATGAGGGGAGATAAATCAGGATTTGCAGACTCCCATATGCTCGAGCCATAGTGTAATTTGTTCCCGTCTCCGCTATTCATTGTAAAAACAGCATTTACAGATCTTTGTTTTCACTGATCCCATGTCCTTTTCAAAGTCACAGGCATGCACACAGGTGCACACGCAAGCACGCTGGAGTCTGATGCAAACCCACAAATACTCCATTACTTGGGGACTCTTCATTATTTAAAGAGCAGTCAGTTAGAATATACAAAATGAGAGAGGAACAGAAAAGAATGCTAAAACTCCGGTTCTTCATGGGACCTCAAGGGTTTTGCCATCCCAGATTACTGAGCCAGATTTATAGTCTCAGTGTAGTTTTGGTTTCACCTAAACTGTACCACTCTTCTCCAAAAGGTGCTAACATCCCTCTGAGTCCTCTCAGAAAAATGCATCCAACCTTGCCTCTAAATCCATTCCTGTCATCTTCATTATGAATTAACCACATTTTGTTTTCATACTCAGTTGTCACTTTGAGCAGAGAAACTATTGATTTTTAAGGCCAGAAGGGATCACTGATCTCCCCTCTTGCATGAAAGACCATAGGACTTTGACCAGTCATTCCTGCATCCAGCCTACAGCTACTCTTTGAGCTATTACGGCTCTCATTTGGCAGACTGCAGCAGATGGAGAATCCATGTCCCTAGGTAAGTTGTTCTAATGCTTAATTATATTCACTATGTTTCGTTTCAAGAATGAATATACCTAGCTTCAGCTTCCAACCAGTGGATCTTATTATTCCCCTTTTGACAAATGAAAGTGCCTTCTACTTATCCTCACGGGTTCAAGGAGCTCCCATCATTTTCTGAAAGGTGGGGGGGCTGACACTGAAATGAGTGCTTGCCTCCTGATTTGTCTGTGTGTCAACATGTACATTGAAAACATTACTTAAACGTATTAAAACTGCAGTTAAAACTTCCTTCTGTATTACGGTAACACCCTGTTTGATGCTTAAAGTCACTTGGCCTTATACCATGTCTCTTAGGACCTGTAATAGTAGCCTTGGAAAGACAAGACTTGTCATGTCTTATTTTAATTAAAGGAGGCACTTTTGGGTAAAAGGAATCAGATGAAATTCAGAAATCACCCTCAGCCAACATGAAGAAAGAACATTCCCTTTGGGCTTGCATTTTTTAATACAATAGAAATAAATCTTATGTAATGTACCATAACATGACAAGGGAATGGTTTCTCCTTAACAAATATTCATTTGAAACTGTGCCTGAGCCCCTTGCATGCAAAGATCTATTTCCTGCAACAGTGTTCCAGCAAAACTGATTACTAATTCCACAACTCAAATTAAAACTAACAGAGCTTGAAGGCTGGGGCTGACACTCTCTCTCTCTCTCTCTCTCTCTCCCCCTCCCTTCTGATGGAGAACAACAAGAGTTTTTAGTGCGCGCGTGTATGTTTAATTACACTGTTTAACACATCAGGAATAATTTAGCAACCAGAGTGAAGAAAACAATGCACTTAGCTACCTTCCCCCTGCAGAATAACTTCATCAGCTTTGCAGACATACTACCGATCTAAACTATGTCGCTTGCAGAGAACCACGTAACTTAGATTGATTCCGCCTCGAGCTTTTTTAATGTTTGTACTTGGCCAATAAGCATGCACATGTACAGGCATGCAAGCTCTTGCTCTGTGTGGCTGAAATTCACCCTTGCTCACAGAGTCTATACAGACCCATGTGCTGTATTACTTTCACTTATAAGTCACTTATTACTTTCACTTATATATCTATCGCTCTCACTTATATATCTATTGCAGTTAATCATGTAGTTCCACTTGAATTCCATGGTACAGGAACATGCACTCAGCTCCTGAGTCACTATTGCCCTGACCTCCCAGGGGCAGGCATCTACACCTTTGCAGAGCAGGCACCAACTATTGCCTTCTGATTTGGTACCACCGTACAATCCCTGTACATGGACTTGTGTCACTTAAAGTGACTGTGCTGGTCATGGGGTCACAGTGAATTGAATACTAAGGGTTTTAGTGTGATATGAGTGGTGCATTGTCCTTGTGCTAGCCCTTGCATAAGGGAGTTTTATTCCATGAGTGCTAGGAAGAGCCCTTCTGACTGAATCTTGTCTTTTGGAGGGGGTAATGTATAACACTGGTGAGATTTCGAAACACCTACTGACGTGGACAGCAAGACATTGTTTCCCTCTTTGTCACAGAGGAATGATGCTATTACTCGGAAGGGCTTAGACATACATTTTCTCAGAGTTTCTTTAAGCTGTTACCACAACCCAAGTTAAAAATAGAATTATAACTAACTTTTTATTTGGTACCTTTTAGCTTTCCCTGTTTGTTTTTTCTTTCTCTCACCACCTCTTTAATTTTCCCACTGTTTCCCCTCCTGCTAGCAAAAGATTGCACTATGTCATTCTTTCTAATTATTGCTATGGACCACCTTTGGAAAGTTGTCCATGACTTAAGATGAAACTGGAAGTAGAAGACAAGGGAGACTGGGACTGGGATAAGAAGTCAGGATGGGAGAAGGGAAAATCAATAGTGGCACAACTGGAGAGGACAGGAAAGAATGGGTCAAGCTTTGGGGAAATAGAAAGAGAAACAGGCTCACTCCTACACACTCCCACCAGAAAATCCTGGTGGAGAACCCAAGACTGCCATGTCACCTGCTGTTCACTGAAGTACTGCAAAACCCATTGACAGAGTGTTCATTTCATCCAGCTCCAGCCCTGACCCACATAAAAGGCAACCACCTAGTATTGTTGTGAGTTACTTGGTGATGTCAGGTACTGCTGGTTATCTGCACATGGTAACGGCAAGGCTTTTGGTGTAATATTATACATATCAATATTCAGTGGCCTTTTCTGCTATTGCCCATTGAGTCATAAGTGGAAATGAGCCAATGAAGAACATGTCCATGTTTCATATCTTTGAGAATGTTTTTCTTTTCAGTCTTCTCAAATCATTTCCAACAAATGTTGGCCCAGCCAACTTCTGTATCTTGGGGGAGGAGGTTAGACACTAGAATTTAACCTCATACATTATTAAAATTACTGAGAGCCAACACTGCCAAATCTTCTATGCAGCTTCACATTTAACCTTGACTAAGGCATGCACTATTTGCTGTAGTAGTGAAAGTCCTTTTTCCCTTGGTGAGCCTGTCAGGCAAGGATCTTGAAGCACTTTATCAACATCAGTGAATTACCTTCACCATGCTCCTATGAGATAGTGAAGCATACAGATTTTTTCTTTTTTTTAAAAAAAAAGAGCCAGAGGTTTTTTAAAAGTAATTTGCCCAAGGTGACACAGCAAATCAGTAGCAAAGCAGCAAAATAACTCATGGGCAAAATCCTGTGCCCGATCAAAAAGCAAGAGTACCTCCCATGTCCTTATCCTGACAGGGCCTTCTACACCTAACAGTCCAAAAAGAATTCCTTTCTGGTTGTTCATGAATGTGAATTTCCTTCATCCTGCATATACAGCATAGTTACCTTTTTTCTGCATTATTTAACTACAGCCTACAGTCACTGTGTAAAGTTCTCTTCCTCTGAGGGTCTCCACTCCCACTAGATCCAATTACTTCTGACATCTTATCACATTAGCACAAAGACTCCTTACAGGAAGGCAAACTCATCTTTGCTTTTCCTCCAGGTAACAGTGTACCTCAAGGATTGGGCCAGGTAATTTATTTTATTTCCCCAAGACAAATCCCTTTCAATGTGTCAGTGATGCTGTTTCAATACTAATACTTGTATTTTCCTACTTTATCTTTTAATAAATAAAATAGCAAAGCGATGTTTTACCTGCAGTGCCTCCAGTGAAGCTATCCAGCCACAACCAGAAAGGTAACAGATGCGCTGTTTTTAGTTCCATTCCAGCTCTCCTTTATACAGCCGGTTTTTCTCCTCCTTGTGTAAACACATCCTGGGTGAACCTCTGTTCAAGACCAAGAGCAAATGATACTATGTTTATTTTGCTGGGATCCTATGACTTAAGCTGACTTCCTGCCCCTGGGGCCGGGGGCAGGACTTAATGATCTTCCATGATCCCTTCTAGCCCTAATGTCTATGAAATCTATGAAATGCAGCAATGCCAAACTGGGGCTGAAGTATACCCCTCTCCTATTTGACATCCGCAGCAACCTGTTTTCACTTCTGCACAAATTAATGGTTAAGCTTGTGTAGTTGTGGTTTCAGATGCAGCCATTGTTACAGGAAAGCGGTGTGTGTTCACAGCTGCTTGGCTTTCACATAAGCTGTTTTCCTCATGGCTTCACCAGGCAGTGGAGAGGTCGTCATGGGATAAGGCACTGAGGGGTGGACTCACCGCAGGGAGTCTATGGTTATGCATCGTTCAGCTTGATGTAACATGAAAAACAGGTATTTTAAGTTAGTATCGATTAAGACTTAGGCTAGGGGCCGAAAATACACATAAACCAGTATAAATGATTGGAAACTGGTTCAAATCTGTAACACAACAGAAATTCAGTGCATATAAACCACTTTCAGAATGTCCAAAAGCAGTTTAAGATAAACCTGGATGAATGTAGTATCAGACTTAACTGATCTAGGTTAAATTGGTTTATTGAACTTCTGTCACAGATCCCCTCTAGATTTAAATTAACTCACAGTCCCCCAGCATCCCAGGATGCTTTGCATCTCCCCCACAAACACCCCTTGCAGGGTGGGCAGTCTACCTGTGGCTT